CGGGAACTGCGCGGCGGGCCGACTGCGGGGCCATCGGCTTCTGGCAGATCCTCAAGCTGGCGGAACAGCCCATGCTGAAGGAGCAGCCCATTGGCGGGCAGCGAAAGCGCGGACACACCATGTCGGAGGCAGAAGGCGCGCGCAGCGCCCGGGCTCGGAAGCCAGGGCGCTCGAAGTGCCGCCAGAATTCTGGCGGCGGCGGCATCGCGTGGAATGCGTCGGCAAGGTCGACCTCGGCCACCGCGATCGAGTTCCCACCGTCGGCGTAGAAATCAGCAAAGCTCGCGCCCGAGGCCAGAGCAACCTCGTCGGCGAATCAGCCGCGACGCGTGCCTTCTGCTTTGCATGGGTCTCGGCTTCCCAAACTTTTAATGCGCGGAGCAGACGCCCGAGCTGCATGCCTTGTCAGCGAGATAATCGATCAAGTGCCGGCGCTCCAAGATCGGCCGCAATGGGGCGCGCAGCTTCGGGTTCCTCAGTGCCGGGTCGGCGCGCGACCTCCGGGGGCCCTCGGACGCGACGCGGGCCCGGCTCTCGTAAAGGTGGAACATCATCGCGCGAAACCGATCAACCGTGGCACGGCCAGCCCTCCTCCCAGATCCTCGTGGCGCCCAGGAGCGACCTGCTTTTTGCCGTCCTGAGAGCTGAGCGGGGCGACGATGGCGGACCCCCCCGCGCAATCGCTGAATGCCCAAGTCTCCTCTAAGGCTCCTGGGCAAGTCAGGCCCTCGCGAAGCTGGCCGTAACGCCGAACTGCATCGCGAATGTTACCCATCGCCCGCAGCTGTCCAGAGAAGGCTGGCCGATGGCAGTCGGCGGACGTGCCAGGCCTGCCCGCGTAGATCTCATTGAGTCATTGAGTGTCTGTACGACCTCATTGACCATCCCATGGGCCCGAACTCGGCGAAGTCCCCGACGAAGAACCGATCGCGCGCGAATGCTGTTCTCTGCCGGAAAAAAAAATCCGACCCCGTGGATCAGGAAGACACAGCAACGGAACGATATTCAATTGACGATTGCGTCGTGCCCCATGCTGCGTGCCGCCCCGGTGACTGGCGAGACGCCGGCGCCCGGCCCGCCTGCAGACGCGCGCGCGCCGCCGAAGGGAAGCGGCCGCCGCGGACTGACACGTCATGATCGCGAGCCCGCTGTTCCTCGCGGGCCTTGCGGGCGCGCTCGGGGGCGGGCGCGCCCCCCTCCGCCTCCTTCGCCCCGCGCTCGAAGAGTAGGAGGCAAATCGCGTCGTCGCCACGATCGCGATTTAGGCCGGTCAGCGCCGCGCTCTCGTCGACGAAGCCGAAGCTGAGCAACCCCTTGGCGGCCAGCTCCCCGGCCGCGACCGCCGCCCGTCATCTTCTTGCCGCCGCCCCCCTCGACGTTGCCCTCGGCGGCAACCTGCCCGTGATGCGGGTCGCGGTCCGTGTTCGTAAATGCGGCATTTGCGCAATATCTGCTTTGCGCCCGCGATGTTGGGCAGGCCGAGGCCATCCCAACCAGCCATAATGTAGATGCCTCGCATCCCCGTCTCGGCACCGTTCACGCCGTAGTCCTCGGCGAGGAGCCCGAGCGTGGACTTCCAGAAATGGAAGTGGTCGACGGGGCCGCCCTGCCGCTTGTCAAAGTACTTGATGCACGACAAGCTAGCCCTGGGCCCAGGGATGTGCCAGTCCACGCAGGTCTCATTCATGAAATTGGCGACGGCGTCCCTCCACTGGCAGAGGAGGCGGCCGCCTGGCACCGCTGGTTTCGGCAGGGTGCCCATCAGCCGCGCGTCAGCTGCAGCGTCGCACCCGGCGCGCTCCTGCGCCGAGACGGGGATCGACCGGATCGCCGCCCGCACGCCGTCGGCAGCCAGCGTGCCACGTGAGAAATTGGCGGTGGTGCGCGGCGGCGGCAGCCGCTCCGGCAGCGGGCGCACCGCCCGCGGGGGCCAGGCCCACGGCCACCAGCGCCGCAGCCTGGGCCTGGCCATGGCTCGGACGTCCATTCCCTGTGTTGTGTTCGGTTTCGTGCGTGGCTTCTTCGCCAAATGATCAAGGATGTTCCTAGACGGTCCTCGCCGAGGGAAAAATGCACACGTCCGAGCGATGCCAAGGGGCGCCGCAGCTTGGGCGCCCCCGGTCCAGCTGCCACCGCGGCGCCTGGGCCATAGGCCCGCGAGATCAGGATCAAGGCCCAGCTGCAGCGCCCAGCCCGCGCCGCAGGTGGTCGGCCTTCAGCGCCGCCCTGCAGCCGTCCAGCGCCGCCGCCTGGTTGACCGCCGCCTGCTCGCCCGCGTTCGAGATGCGCCTGAATTGGCACGACCTCGCGGCCGAGATGCAAGGTGGGAAGTCCCCGCGCCCGCTCGAGTAGCGCACGCCGAGGATGTCGCTCCCCCTGCAGCGAGTAATTAGTCTTCCTCGTAGAGGTCGGCGTCCAAGGTGCCGATCACCACCGCGAAGGCCGACCCGATGACACTTGCCTTAGGTCGGGCATGTCCTCCTACAGGCTGATTTTTGGCGAAGAATCAGACATACTGATGCATACATCGAACACGCTAAAAAATGTCAAAACATCGCCCCCAGCTAATAAACAAAAACTATGTTTGAATTTTGCTCCTGTAGAGGGACAGGCCCGACTGAACATCTGCCAAACTCGCCCGACGCCCCAAGACAAGGCGCTGGTGTTAAGTCGTGCCTGTCCCCCATACAGGGGGATTTTCGACGAAAAATAAAAAATACCCAAGACATAATCAAAGAATAAGCTAAAAATAGTCTGGAGACTATTTTTTGAATATTGTTTGACCTTTTTGGAGCATTTGTGTGGCATTGTTCATTTTTCGACGAAAATCCCCCTGTAGGGGGACACGCCCGACATAAGACGAGCCCCAGGAAGAGCAGCTCGTCCAGCAACACCGAAGCCCGAAAACGAAGCCCGGACCGGCGCCTCCTCAGTCGTGCCCGCGGCCGCGGGCAAGGCGGGCGCAGGCTTCCCCCCCCAAGGCACGCCGGGCATGCAAGGGCCAGGAGGACACGCCGAGCAGTGGGGGATCGGCGGGCACGGCGGGATCGAGATGGATACTGGATAGGCACCACCGTCGGGGGGGGGGGCGCAAACACGGATTAGCGATCCATGGATTTGGCGCGCGGTCTAACCAGCCTCGAACTTACCCCTATCCCTCAGATGGGCGAGCAAAAAGCGAGGCCGATCTTAGGGATAGGCCCTCAGAAACTGAGGGAATCCTTAAGATCGGCATCGAGGTGAGGTGATGTCAAACATAGGGATAGGGATATGTTTCAAACTGGTAACGGTCGCCAAATCCATGGATCGGGGGAGCTGCCCTCCCCAGAATGCGGCCAGTGCCGCCTCGCCCAGCGGCTGGAATCCGCGATTTCCCATGGAAAGAGACCCGTCGCCAATCCACGCCCCCTGAATCCATGTTCGCGATCGCCTGACACTGGAGGTTGCCGCCTCAAAGGTATGCGAGAGTACCCCCTCTACCAGGCGCAGTGGGCGACAGGCCACAAGAAAAAGCCATCTTGTGCGCGGATTCTTGGGCCCAGAGAGCCAAGGAAGTGATCCGTCGACGGACAGAGCCCGCGACATGCTGTGGAATATCAGGCACGCAAAGGATACACAATGACCAATACGCAGCTCAACCGATACCAGACGTCGGTTTTTCTCCAAGAAAATCACGGTGGAACATCACGACTGGATCCCTCGACGCCACAGTTCCAATGCATTTTGCATGTCCCCCCGAGCCAGACCGACCCTTCCTGTAACTTTGTTCCCTGACCCCTCCGCGCCGCCGCTCTGGGGAAGGGTGCCGCTCCAACGAGGCGCGATGACCTTCGCGTCGCTGTGAGTGACCCAGATACTCGGCAAAGGAAGCGGGCATGGCTGGAAAACTGGCCAGGGCTAGATTAAGCCCCAGACAGGTGAGACAACTGCGGAGGCCAAGGCTGGAAAAGAGCGCGGCGTGGAATAAACGGAACCCCCTGGCGGCTCTTTCCATCTTTCCCGCACAAAATAATATTGTATCTTCGGGGGACCTTGTCTGTCCTGGCGCGGCCATATCCGCGTCGAATCCGTGTCGACTCCATGTCGGCCTCGTCGGATCCGTGTCGAATCCGTGTCGAATCCGCGTCAAATCCACGCCAAATCCGCGTCGAATCTGCACCAAGCCCGCGTCGGGCGCAAGAAAAGATACAAGTTTTGGGGATAGGCGAGGTCCCCCAAAGATGCAACGTAACGCGGCCTGGGACAAATGGAACACCCTGGCCGCAGCTTTCCCGCACAAGGCCTGGGACCAGGTGCAATCCGTTTTTTTGTTGTTGAGCTCCACGCCCACATCAAAGACCTCGCTGAGAGGACCAGTTGCCCACCTGCTAAGATGACGAGCAGGGGGCCGGGTGCAATCCGTCTGACCCCACACGGATCGGAGGAGGGCCATCTGAGACACCCGCGGCTCCCCCCCTGGCCCAAATCCGATGGAAATGCATCCCCGGCCTGGCCCGGACACCTCCAAGGGTCCACCCTGCCGAACCCTGGGAAACCAAAAGGTACAGGGCAGTTTTTTAATACATTGGATTTTAAAACATATGATCTTTTTTTTTTTATACATGACTAATGTATGAGTAAATATATACATGAACACATCGTTGTTTTTAATACCCAAATCCCTGCATTTACAATACATGATCCGCACGCGGAGTATGTATTAAAAAGGACACTGTACCGATACCGCTACTCCCTGGACCTCTACTGGGGTGCGCTCTGACCAGGACTTCGAGGCGAATCCAGCGGCGGCGACGAGGGCCCCCCAGGATGCCCCAAAAGGGGAAGACGCGGAAAGGGCAGAGGCATGGGTACTTCTTCCGCCCCCGGAACCTTTCGCGGCGGATGCATCTGGGGCGGCGAGAAACTTCCGCAGGGCCCGAAGCGGACGCGAAGCGCCAGGGCAGGACGACGCTGCCTCGACCGGCCCTCCGACGGAAGCTCGGGGCCGGCGCGCCGCTGGCCTGGTCGGGCCACGCGAAGCGGCGGACGCACCTGCACCGCACGCGCGGCGCGGGCGGGCGGGCGGCCGCGGCGGAGGGCTCGGCGCGGAGAGAACCCACGTCTCGGCGGCGAGCGAGGGCGGGAACTGAGAAGGAGAAGGCCTTCTTGGAAGGCGGCGGGACTTCTCAGAAGCCCTCCAGCCTTCTGAGAAATGTGTTTTGTGTCTTCGGGGAAAGCTGGGAACACGTCTCAGACGGCCAGGGGACTTCCGAGCCTTCTGAGAAGGCCTGCCCCTTCTCACTTCCCCCCAGGGGCTCGCCGCCGAATATCAGGCGGACGTGGATCTGGGGTGTACGTGAGCTGTGGGCTCGCAGGAGCCCATCCCATCCTCTGCTCCCCGCATCGGGCCTCGCACAGTGAGGCTTCCAGCGAAAAGATCGGGGAAACGCAGGGCCGCTCCTGGAGCCACCCCAGGCCGTCTTGCAACTCTACGAGGCCCTCTGCATGGGCGTCACCTCCTGAGCCGTCCTGCCCGGAAGCAGCGGCCCGTACGGCGTGCACCTGCCCCCCGCCCCTCCTGCCCCGCTGGGGTCGAAGCTGGGCCTGCAACCTGGAGGCCCTCTTGGGCCATCCTGGGCGCTTTGGGGACCATTGTGGCCCGTTTCGGGCAGCAATCGGAGCCATGTTTGTTGCTTACTCGAGGGGGTGTCCAGAGGCTTCGGAGTCCAGGGGCCACGTGCCCATGTTGATCGCCGCACCACACCTCCCCAGTGGCACAGCGGTCCATGCCGAAGGCCAGCGTTCAGGAGCACACTCGGCCGCTGGGCTGCCTTGGCGGCCTTTGGGGCATTCTTGGAGCTCCCTTTGGGCCGCCCTGGGCCTCTCTGAAAGTTTTCTTTGGCCTTCCGTGTAGTGTTCGAGGCCCTCATGGGCCGTTGGCAGTCCTGGGCGCTTTGGAGACCAATTTGGCCCGTTTTGGGTAGCAATCGGGGCCATGCTGCGTTGTTTTGGCGGCCTGTTGGGCCTTCTTGGAGCTCCCTTGGGACTTCCTTGGCCTCTCTGGAACCTCTGCTGGGTGGTGCTCGCAGCCCTCGTGGGCCTTTCTGGGCTGCTCATGGAGCCGTCCCAGGCTGTCGTACAACTCTATGGGATGGGCCCCTCTCGACGTCTTCCTGCTCCCCCTCCTTCTGGAGCTGGGACCCGCTATGCGTGCACTTGCCCCCCGCACCTCCTGCCTCCCCGGGGGTCGCGCTGGGCGTCTCTGAAGGCCCTCTTGGGCAATCCTGTGCGTTTTGGGTACAAGTTTGGCAAGTTTGCTCGGCAGCATTCGGGGCCATGCTGGGCTGTCATTGGCGGCCGGTTGACCCTTCTTGGGACTCCCTTGGAAATTCCGCCGCCTCATGAGAAGGCCCGCTTTTCTCTATTCCCCCATATCGCTCGGTGCGTCGAACGCTCCGCCGTGACTAAGGATGGCGGGTGGTGCTCTGGCACTGGCAGACGGGCCGTCAGAGAGCGCATGTTCCGTCTTCGGCATCAGCGGCGGTGCCTCGCAGACGGCTGGGTGCATCTAGAAGTGCACCTGGCCCAAGGTGCCCCCAGAGTTCCCAAGGAGGCATGGCTTCCAGAGCACCCCTCGCGAGGCCCAGAGGGCCAGACGGCTCCAAGATTGAGCGAAAAGCTGTGGGCACCTTGGGCCAAGGGTACATTTTTATCACCCCCCGAGAAGGTGTGATCGTTCAGCAGTTGCCGGAGTTCGTGCGCCCTGACGATGGCGCTATACACGCTTCTCCAGGACATTGGCAAGGTAAAAAAAACACCAGCATGAAAAAGGTTGGCGTGCACGTTCGCGTCCAACATGGACATGTACAGAGTGCGCGTCCGGTTTGGGTATACATGTGGTGTCGGCACGGAGAGAGCGTATAGCGTGCACGGACGGTGAGTGGCACCTGGTCCCCTGAGGGGTGCCGTGCACGCTAAACACTGCATGTTGACCGTAGGCTCTGGCAAACCAACCTGCTTGCTTCTTCGCCCGCCCCTTCCCCCTACAACCTATAGGATCTTGAATGCTTCCCCGACTCCAGCGTTACGTGTTCTGCCCACTCTGGTCGTTCCTCCGACTCCTGTTCACAACCTTCCGACTCCGGTTCCCATCCATCTCTCCGACTCCGGCTCCGGCTCTGGCTCCTGCCCCCAACACGTCTCCTGAGGGCTCTGGCCCCCCCGCGCCGCCCTATGAGGGCCGGTCCCGCCGGACCGAACTCGCGCGCTCGCCTCGCCTCGCCTCCTCCCCCTCACTGCTGCCTGCTGGAGCCGACCCGGGCTGGGCCCAAGAGGCGTGCAGGCGAGCGCCGGCTCGCGAGGAGCCCAGACTGCTTTTTGGGCCTCGCCACGCCACCGCCCCCCCTCCTCCGTGCAGGCACGCTTCGGGGAACGAAGAATGACCGAACCATCGAAAAACCAGGAGGTCCGCGCGGATTTCTCGGGTCCGCGCGCCAGGGGGGGCCCCAGCGCCGATCCGAGAACTCCGCGCGGACCTGTGAGACGTTATGTTTATGTCATTCTTCGTTCCCTTATTTTAGGCCTCGCCACTGCACCGTCCCCCTCCATGCAAGCAAACATGCCAGAATCCGATGAAAAACTGCGAAACGCTCTCGCCCTGGACACATCCGTCTCGGGTGTCCCCTCCAATGCGTCCCCTCCCAATCCGTGGACGCCGCACGTCCTCCACGCAGCCGTCCTCTTGCCCTCCGCCCCCACCCGTCGTCGCCCTTCTCGGTCACCCCGTCGTCAGCATCGACAGGCCAGGCCCCCTTTTCCTCCCTCCTCCGCCGCGGGCCTTCGGGGTTTCCCCACGAGGACTCCCTCCCGAGGTCGAGGCCATGCCGCAAACGCTCCCTTGCTGGAATCCTCGGCGAGCACATCCCGAACCCACGAGGGGCAACGCTAGGGGGCGGCGACCTGTTCAGGCAAGGGGTGGCGAACATCGAGCCTGCATCGACGACACTGACTCCGCAACCTTCCGGGCGGTGTGGGATATAGAGCCCCAACCTGCGAGCCATCAACGACCGAAGGTCGATACGTCGCCACCAGGGCCGATCCTCCCCTGACGTTGCCCCTGACACCCCGCCCTCCCCGCGCCCCGCTCCTCCCCGACTCCGTCTCATGCCTCCGCTCCCGATCCACTGCTGCGTCTCCCTCCCTCCTCCCGCATCCCTCCGCCTCCTCCCACTCTTATGTCGGACATTCCTCCTCCTCCTCGTCCTCCTCCTCCTCTTCTTCTTCTTCTTCTTCTTCTTCTTCTTCTTCTTCTTATTATTATTCCGTAGCCATTTTGGCTCAAGTTCGAAACGCGTCCCTGGCGCTTCGAGCTTGTTCGCCGCTGAGGGGAGGCTCAGTGTCTTCTCCCTGGGGACAGGCCCCTGAATCTTATCCGTCGTGCGCCAAAGCACGCTGCGTTGCAAGCATCGCTCGCGTCCCTGTGCAGTTCCAGCCATGGCGGGCGGCGGGTCCTCCTCGCTCGTCGCTCCCTGCGGGACGTGTGGCTGCAAAAAGAACATGCCTTGGTACAAGTGGTGCAAATCGTGCCAGTCCTCTGGCCTCGCCTCTGGCTAAGGGCCGTCCTCGTGCTGGTGGGGATGGTCAACTGCCTGAAGGAGGTAAGCGTCGCCGTGGCGCTGACGGAGGTGGCAAAGGTGCTGGAAAAGGATTCGGCCGCGCTGGTGTGCCGCCCCCTCCGTCCAGCAACCAGCATGAGTACCTTGAGGCGCTCACCAAGCACTTCAAGGGCGTTGGTGGCTGTCTCCCTGGAGCTGATGCCATCCTCCAGGCTCTGGCTGCCTCGTCCAGTGCGGTCAAGCAGGCGGAGCTCGACAAGCAGAACGCTGGGGTGCAGGCCTCGGCAGTCCAGAAGCAGCTTCTTTCCAAGGAGAAGGAGCTGTTGCAGGTTACGGATTCTATCGAATACCATCGCAAGCGTGGCGAGGAGCTGCGGACAAGGTCCGCCCAGATCGGCATGGAGATCGAGCAGCTTCGTGTGCGATATCGTGAGCTCTCCGCCAAGGTGGCCCCTCCCGATGAAGACCCAGGTGCTGAGGTCGACATCGCGAAGTTCAAGGACACTTTCTCGGCCATGGACGTGTTCTTGGGCCAGGCCGCAGAGGCTGTGCAGAAGGAGAGCCTCGACGACCTCAAGGCCAAGATGGAGGCCATGCGCAGTGCGTTGCAGTCGGGCAAGGAGCATCTCAACAAGTCCGTGGAGGCCGTCAAGGCTCGTGGCTCTTCTGCGAGATCGGCTTCTGCTCCTGTGGCCAGGCCCCACATTCGCTCAGACGACGACCTCTACAACCTCCTGTGCGGCCCCTCGGCGTCCGCTGAGGAGAAGAAGCGCATGTTGGAGATGGTGGAGGCCGTGGCCAGCAGGTTGCGTACCTAATAGCACTACAGCCTCTCGGGAGGGGGCTTTGTGCCCTCCCACCTGGCCGCTGGAGGCCCATACTTCGTCCTCTGGGCGCGCCGCGTCATCGCCAGGTACCTTGTCGACAGACCCCTCTGCTACAGCCCCCACCCACCTCCCAGCGCAAGCTGGTTGGCTCCCAGGGTTAAAGGGTGGGGGCGGCTTCTTAGCGGAGGGGTCGGTGCAGTCTGAGGCGCCTGGCCACCCGCAGAGCTCTGTTGCATCGGTAAGCTGCTATAACCAGCCCAGTGTAGTTCTTCCCTCGGACTCTGAGTTTCCTGGTGGTGAGTTCGGTTTCATCCTGGAGGCTTTCAACGGTTCGGGTTGGGGAACTGCTCGTGAGAGACTGGAACAAACCCGTGCTCACATTGTGTGTATACAAGAGCATAAGCTTCGCAGTTTTGAAGAAATCAATCAAGCCAGTGCGCGGGGGATCCGACATGGTTGGAAGATTATCTGGGAGCCTGGTTGTTCTGGGGAGGAAGGTGGTGCTTCTGCTGGCGTTGCGTTGGCGGTACGTGCAGTTTTCGGATTCCACCCGCTCCTCGACGTCACTCAGGTTTCTCCGCACAAGTGTGTTGCAGGTGTTGTTCAGCGGCTGGGACAGCCGAAGCTCTTAGTTGCCAGCATCTACTTGCATGATTGCGAGCAGATGAGCGACGACAACGTTGCCGTCCTCTCGGATGCCATGTCGTTCCTGGGGCACTCGGGCATGCCGTTCGTGATGGGCGGGGATTTCAACATGGTTCCCGAAGTGCTCCTGGACAATGAAATTCCAGAGCTCCTGCGAGGTTCACTGGCGTCGGCGCCTGGGGATCGAGGGTCTTTGACGGGCCCCAACGGTGCCAAGCACTATGACTATTTCATGTTTTCTGGTGGCTTGAGCAAATGCGTAAAGGAGGTCTCTCTGGTCGAGGAGGCCGCCACTTATCCTCACTTGCCTGTGTGTCTGGAGTTCCACAAGTCGCTCAATACTCTGAGGGCCCTCAGGTTTCGCAAGCCTCCGAAGATCCCCGTCGAGCCTGCCATGGGGCCCGTGGCGCAGCCGCCCGGCTGGTCTCAGGCCCTGGAGCTTTTGGATTTTACGCTGGAAAGTGCTGTCTCGGGGAGGCTGCAGGAGGCTTTCTCGGGGCTGGACTCGGCCTGCGAAGTGTGGGCCAACCTCAGCGAGGTCGAACTTGTCGCATCGACGCAGTCGACCATCACAGTTTTTGGCGCACGCGGACGCAGGCCCAGGTGCGAGTGGCACGATCCGCTCACCATCGACACCAGGGCCGCGCCGCCGTCAGCGCAGCAGTCGGTCAATTTCTTCGTTGTGCAATTGCGCGCTTTGATCGGGCACCTCGGCGCGGGCGACCGCGCCCGGCCGCGCAGTCGATTGTAGGTCAGTTGAGACGTCCTCCTCAGAATATCCTGGACAATCTGGGGGAGTGGTCCGTGGTTCACGATCAGGCTGTTTATTCTTCGGACGTATAGACGAGCTTGCTCTGGATGACTGGAGGCTTTCTTTGACCCAGTTGTTGGAGGATTTCGAGGAATCCCTTTCGGAGGCCGTCGCCTTTACTCGTAAGTTATCTAGAGCTTCCTGGAGGCAGTGGGTCTTGGAGGGCATCGAGAGAGGGGGCAAGAGGGCTCACAAGTTCACGAGGGACCCCCAATCTTGGACACCGACTACTACCCTGAGCTCTGATGGTGCCATGGTTTCGGATCCACTCATGCTCCTGAAGGCAGAAGCTCTCAAGTTTGCTGACCTCTGGGGCACTACGTATCAGGAGGCTCGGCCGCCTGACCGTTTCGCGCGCGAGGCTATCCTGGAGCCCTTTGAGTTTCTCAGCCCTCCAGCGCTTCGAGAACTCAGCCTCAGCTATTCCAAGTTTGCGGCGGTCTCTGTCGACGGGTTTCACATGAGGCACTTCGCGCAGCTTAGCGATGGCGCCCTCCTGGCCCTGGGGACGATGTTCCAGCTCTGGGAGATGCTTTCGGCTTTTCCTATTCAGTTGAGGATGGTCCTCCTGGCTATGTTGTCGAAGGCATCTGGAGGCTTTAGGCCTATTGGCCTCTTCGTGGCTCCTTACAGACTCTGGGGACGCGCTCGCCGTCGCTTAGCTGAGGAGTGGGAGGCTGCGTGGCAGAGGCCTTTCTTCGCCTGTGGGCGATTCAAGTCTTCCTCGGATGTGGTTTGGAGGCAATCTCTTAGATCCGAAGAGGTCTGTTTCCTTCAAGGACGTGTCCGCTAGTGTTCTTTGGGACATGTATAAGTTCTACGAACTATTTGACCTGGAGCTGCTTATAGACCGTTGCAGGCGCGTTGGATTTTCTCTGCAGGTGGCCCGCTTGTGCGTGTTCGCCTACCAGTGCGCACGGTTTGTATTGATGAATGGCAGCGTCAACGGTCCTTGGCTAGCCATCAAGGGTGTCATCGCTGGGTGCTCGATCGCGACTACATTCGTTCGAATGTACCTCGTCCTGGATCTGGATAGGTTGACGCTGCCGCGCTCGGTTACCCTTGATGCTTATATCGACGACTGTGCTTTGCATTGCACGGGCAGTCCCGAGCTTGCGGTTCGGGGCCTTGTGGCCGCATCGCGGGCGCGGCACCGTATTCTTACGATCGATTGTAAGTGCTCGCTGTGGGTTGATCGCGCCAACAGGGCCACGGCTGACAAGGCTTGCCTCATCTCGTCCTCGGCTACCGTTTCTCGTCGCCTTCGTGACGCCCTAGGGGGGCTAGCTGGGCCGACCACTGCGGGGGTAGCTAATCTCGGGATCGACGACACTCAGGGTAAGCCTCGAAGATCGCCTGGTCGCGGTGCTACTGCCAAGAAGCGAGCTGCCATGTTTAACCGTCGTGCCAAGAGGCTGGTCAGGTTGAAGCCTGACCTCGGCAAGCGATGCAAGCAGATATTTACCGCTGGGCCGCTGCCTGGCATTTTATATGGAGCAGAAGTTCACGGGTGTAGTGACGGAGAGGTGCGTCGGATCCGTCGCGGGCTCGGTCGTGCACTACAGCCGTCGGCAGGGGGTCGCTCGCTCACCGTACTCATGATCGCCGAGAACGATCCCTCATGGCTTGCCTCGGTAGCACCAATGGTTCGATGGGGGAAGGAGGTGTGGATCACGGCTAGCAAGATCACGTCTCTTTCGTTGTCGTTTGCTGCGCTGCGCTCGGCATGGGGCGCCACGTTCCCCAAAGACATCACATGGCGCTCGTGTGGTGGACCTGTCGGTGCTATGAAGCTCTCTTTGTGCAGGATTGACTGGCAGATGAAAGACCCCTTCACTCTGACCAACGACCTCCAGCAAGAGATCTCGCTGCCTGGCACATCACTTGCTCTGTTGAAGAAGCTCCTCAGGGAAGGGGTGCTTCGTGCTTTGGAGAGACAGGCCAGCCTCGCCTTGGGTTCCCCTGATCGGTTGTGATTCGACGTTATGGTTTCTGCTACTCGGTCGTCTAAGTTCGACAAGATCCAGAGGGGCTCTGTTAAGGCGGTTCTTTGTGGGGCTACTTGGACTCGTGACAGGCCGGTTAGCTTAGGTTATCATTGCTGTCCTAAGTGTGTTCTCTGCAGGGAGCCCGACTCTTTGTTCCACAGGATTTGGGAGTGTAGCCAGTGCTCTGAGCTGCGTGCCAGTCTTGTGGACCCCTGGGTGCTTGAAGCCTCCAAGGACCACAATGTGGACCTTCTCCTTTTCACCCGAGGTCTTTTCAGGCGCCCGAAGGATTTGTTCCCACCTCCGCTCTCTGACACAGGTATAGATCTCGTGTGGCATGACGACCCAGCTCGGCTGGGTGGCAGATTCGAGGGCCACATTGTTATGGATGGCTCGTGCTTTAAACATCCTGTGCGGGAGCTGTCGAGAGCGGGGTGGGGGTTATGTGTTTTTGGAAATTCGGACTCCGCGGCTCCTCTCTGTTCGGTTTCAGCCCCCGTCTGGAGCCCCACGCCCCAGACGAGTCAGGGAGGGGAATACTCGGCCTTCGGGGACTCTGTTTTCCTGACCGCGGGACCTAGCCACTTTTACACGGACTGCTTGAATGTGCACAAGCAGTACCATGTTCCTGGTTATTATAACCAGATCAGCTACAAACTCGTGTATAGTGGTATGGTGATGCAGGCCCTCTCTCACGCTTCGCTCATCTTGAGCCTCACCAAGGTGACGGCCCACCAGAACTTTGAGCTGGATTTGGCCCCTCAGGAGGCCTTTTACCGCTTTGGTAACCATGGGGCAGATCAGGCGGCCAAGAGGGGAGCGCTCCAGCACCCTGCCGCTGCGCCCGAGCTTCAAGAAGCTGTGAGTCGTTTAGTTTCAGTTGCCAAAGCGGTCGCCAAGTTGTCTGCGCACCTCCTGCCTCTCTGGCCTCGCCTTGACCTCAAGGGGGTGCAACGTATCGTCCCGCCGCGCCCTGCCGCGGTGGCCCGCGTGGGCCATTATTGGGTGCGTGTCGGGGACCTTTGGCAATGTACTTTGTGTCTACGAGGGAGGCGCACTGCGGCGGTGCCGCCTCCAGGGGCCTGTTCCCGTCACTCGCGTGTGGAAGTCGCTCAGCTGGCCTCGCTCGGTCACAGGTGCTGGGTGGTCGATTGCTGTGATGACTCTTTTGTGTGTTTCTGCCAGACGTGTAAGTGCTACAATACTGGTCTCAGGCTCGCCAAGCTGGCGAGTCCGTGCAGCGGCCCTCCTGTCAACAAGGACGGCACACCCAGGACACCAGGCTCCTGGGCTCGTATGCTTCGCGGCCTTCATCCGAAGAGGTCACGGGTGACTATTCTGTCTAGCACGATGGCTGCTCTCTGTCCGTAACTTTCAGGGGGTGGTTCGGCCTGCCTTTTGGGCGGGTGGCCCCCCTTGTGCGTGCGGATGCTGTGCGGCCTCGCTGCCGGCTGTGTCACCGCTCTCTGCGCCAGGCTTTCGCCTTGCGACTTTGGTGCAGGAGCCTCTGCGCCGAGGCCTGACTCAACGTAGGAGGGTTTCGGCGTCACTAGCGGCGCATGTCAAAAAACATCTTCTTATTAGTATTATTATTCGTATTAGTCTTAGTTTTCTTCCTTCTTCTTCTTCCTCCTCCTCCTCCTCCTCCTCCTATTTCTCCTCCTCCTCCTCCTCCTGCTCCTCCTCCTATTTCTCCTCCTCCTCCTCGTCGTTCTCCTCTTCCTCCTCTTTCGTCTCCTCCTCCTCCTCCTCCTCCTCCTCCTCCGCCGTCTCCTCCCCTTCTCCTCCCAGATCCTTCTCCCTCCTCCCCCTCTCCCTTCTCCTGCACATCCGCCCCTCCACATGGTCGCTTGGCGCCAGTGGGGGCACTCGCGCTGGGCCTCCGTCAGCTCGTACTGGGTATCCAGCATGATGGAGAGCCTGGCTGGCGATGGGGGGTGGCGATGGGCGGGGGGGGGGCAGAGCAGGGCGAGGGAGGAGAGGGGGATGCGGAGGTAAAGAGGGGGAAAGATGGAGAGGGAGACGGCGCAGAGGGAGGAGGGGGCGCAAGACGCGGGAAGCACAGGGGCAGATGCATTCCCGGGCTCCGAGAGTCCTCTCGGGCTCCCGGGGCCTCGGGGAGCGTCATGGCGAGACCTCGAGGGGAGGAGGAGCAGACCTCGAGGGGAGGAGGAGCAGAGCTCGAGGGCAGGAACCTGGTTGGGGAGAGAGGAAGACCTCGAGGAGCGCCCTGGAGGAGCCTCGATCTGGGCGAGGGGGAGCAGCCGCCGCCGCCGGCACCTCGAGGCGGAGCCCCAGCGGGCGGCGGAGAGGGCCGCCCGCGGGGCCCCCCTGGGAAGGCACCGCAGGGAGGCCTGGGCAGGTGCGGAGGGGCCCCTCCTCCTCCTCCTCCTCCTCCTCCTCCTCCTCCTCCTCCTCCTCCTCCTCCTCCTCCTCGTCCTCCTCCTCCTCCTCCTCCTCCTCCTCCTCCTCCTCCTCCTCCTCCTCCTCCTCCTCCTCCCCTCCTCCTCCTCCTCCTCCTCCTCCTCCTCCTCCTCCTCTCCTCCTCCCTCCTCCTCCTCCTCTCCTCCTCCTCCTCCTCCTCCTCCTCTCCTCCTCCTCTCCCCTCCTCTTCCCCCTCCCCCTCCCCCCCTCCTCCTCCCCCCCTCACCCCCTCCTGCCTTTGCCGTGGCCGTGGGCCACAGAAGTCGCCCCCCGCCCCCCCCGCGGAGAGCTCCGCCGCCGGGCCCTGCGCGGCGCCCTCGGTCCGCGGGCCCATCCCCCGGGGGCCCCGCGGCCGCTCGCGCGGGGAGGCGGTGGCGGGCGCCCGCCGCGGCCCCCCCTCCGCGCGCCCCCCCCCCCCCCACCCCCTCCCCTACGACATTCCAGGGTTCCCTGCGTTTTCCAACGCGTTCTTGATTGTCGTCTTCCCCCCCCATCCCATATGGTCCCATGCTTTCTCGCAGTCGACAGTTCATTCTGTCTCTGTGTGTGTTTGTGCTCCCTCCTGATAGCGTAATCCCTGAAATCCGACGCTGCGCACAGACTACGACATCACGACCTCTGCTGCACTCGTTGCGCCAGATCGGGCCGTGAGGGGCCTGGGAGCCGAAACGCTGTCAAATCCCGATGCGTGAACACTCGGGAGCGGCCAAGAGGGGGGTGTCCAAGAGGGGGGTGCAAATCATGACCGGCGGCATGTGCGCGGCCCAGCGGGGGGGGGGCCGGGGACGTAATGGAATGAGAAGATGAGCCATGAAATTTGGGGAAATATCATGGCCAACGCCATGATATCCCCCCCCCCTAGTCATCACCCCCCTCTTTGCCGCCCCCGACATCTGAGGCACCCGCGGCTCCCCCCCTGGCCCGAATCCGCTGGAAATGCATCCCCGGACTGGCCCGGACCCCTTCCCAAGGGTCCATCCTGCCGAACCCTGGGAAACCAAGAGGTACCGCTACCGCTACTCCCTGGACCTCTCCTGGGGTGCGTTCTGACCAGGATTTCGAAGCGAATCCAGCGGTGGCGACGCCAGGATCTCAGAGCCCCGGGCGGCCCCCAAACCGCCCCAAACCAAGGGCATGCGGCGGCATCGGTACCTCGCGACGGCAGCGGCGGGAGGCGAGCGGCGACCTGCGGGACCCTGGCCAGAGGCTATCTGCCACTTCCAGGAGGAGGAGGAGGAGGAGGAGGAGGAGGAGGAGGAGGAGGAGGAGGAGGAGGAGGAGGAGGAGGAGGGAAGAGGAGGAGGAGGAGGAGGAGGAGGAGGAGGAGGAGGAGGAGGAGGAGGAGGAGGAGGAGGAGGAGGAGGAGGAGGAGGAGGAGGAGGAGGAGGAGAGGGAGGAGGAGGAGGAGGAGGAGGAGGGAGGAGGAGGAGGAGGAGGAGGAGGAGGACGAGGAGGAGGAGGAGGAGGAGGAGGAGGAGGAGGAGGAGGAGGAGGAGGAGGAGGAGGAGGGGCCCCTCCGCACCTGCCCAGGCCTCCCTGCGGTGCCTTCCCAGGGGGGCCCCGCGGGCGGCCCTCTCCGCCGCCCGCTGGGGCTCCGCCTCGAGGTGCCGGCGGCGGCGGCTGCTCCCCCTCGCCCAGATCGAGGCTCCTCCAGGGCGCTCCTCGAGGTCTTCCTCTCTCCCCAACCAGGTTCCTGCCCTCGAGCTCTGCTCCTCCTCCCCTCGAGGTCTGCTCCTCCTCCCCTCGAGGTCTCGCCATGACGCTCCCCGAGGCCCCGGGAGCCCGAGAGGACTCTCGGAGCCCGGGTCAAGGACCGAGGGGGAAGATCGGGGATCGAGGACACCCCAGGAGGACCGAGGATCGAGGAGGACCGCGGAGGAGGGCTGATGATCGTGAAAATTCGAGGAGGAGGGTCGAGGATCGAGGAGGAGGAGGAGGAGGAGGAGGAGGAGGAGGAGGAGGAGGAGGAGGAGGAGGAGGAGGATCGAGAGTCCGTAACCATTGGCTCAAGCCGTTCTGGTTCAAGGGAGCCAGGCACAGGGCCTGCACGCACCGCTTCCAGTAGCCGCCAAAGGCTCGCCAGCGGGAAGATTTTCTCCCCGTCCCTTCACCGCCTGCAGACGCCATGACGCAGAAGGGAGTCTGGAAAGGTGGCGCAGCAGGCAAATGGTCCTGCAGCAGCGTCGACACGTACAGCGGGTGGGTCATGCAGTATTGGTTCAAGGAGCTTGCGTTCGGAGGTGTGTTTCCAATCTTTTATTGTGCGTGATGTGTGTTGTGCTTGTGCGTGTGTTTCGTGCCACGAGTCTACATGAACTATAGTTGTTTTGCGAAGGAGGGTCTTTTGGGCTGTGTGGTACTGGTTTTGTTGTCCGTGCTCAGACTCTTCAGCGTAGGGCGCGGTTTTGATCCTCACCGCCCCACGCCCTGCTCCTTGGGCCGCGGCGTCGGGTCGAGACTCGCCATCTCGACCGGCGCGTCCACAGACCGCCGAGTCGGAAAGGAGCTACTGTGCCTCGTTTTGCGCGCTTGTGATTATGTAGACCCATGGATGCCCAGGCCGCCCGGCCGGGTCGTGGGGCAACGGGCCGGCTACATAGGATGGAGACTAGTCCATGGTTTTCAGAAATGCTGCGCGAGCCGGCACGGCAAACCCCTGCAGTGCACAGCGGATGGACTCCGAGTCCGCTGTGCGCATTGTGCCCTGGGTCGTTCGTTCCCTTTGTTCTTGCTCGTGTCCCCTGCCAGGGCGGGAGGGCATCACTCGACAGTCCCTGGGCCGGGGGCGGTTGATGTCTCCGGGCATCTCCCCTGGCCACACACTAGTCGTTAGCGCTGGGGGGCGCCTGACCACCGCACCCTGGTGTAGGTGGAGCGCGGGTTACTGTGCGGCGCGCTGCCGGTCCTAAGGTGTCGACCTTACATGTTTTGGCCAGGCGACCAGGGACGCCAGTGGCTACCGAGCAGTTTGGAAACGTTTGGTTCTTCTGGCATTTCTCGGAGGGTGGGTGGGGGAACTCTGGCGGGCTTCGAGCGTAATCCTGTAATTCGCCAAGCTGCGAGCTGTGCGTGCCCGTGTTCTCGCTTGGTTGCTTGTGCCGCCTTCGCCTTCGGGCCGCCCGCTGCGCCGGGGTCCAGTCTTGCACCGGGCCTCTTTGGGTGGGGGTCTTGCACCCTGTTGGCATGTGATGCAACCTCGGAGGATCCAGGCCGCTTGCGAACCGTATGGGAGGGAACGTCGCATGGACGGGGAGTCGCGTAAAGGGATACGCACTGTGCGTTTATGTACATTGTGTATGGTACCGTGTGTTTCGTGAGTGTGTGTTGTACGCTATTCTGTTGTGTACGTTGTCCGGGATCTGGCGGGTTTCGAGCGTAATCCTGTATTTCGTCAAGCTGCGAGCTGTGCGTGCCCGTGTTCTCGCTTGGTTGCTTGTGCCGCCTTCGCCTTCGGGCTGCCCGCTGCGCCGGGGTCCGGTCTTGCACCGGGCCTCTTTGGGTGGGGGTCTTGCACCCTGTTGGCATGTGATGCAACCTCGGAGGATCCAGGCCGCTTGCGAACCGTATGGGAGGGAACGTCGCATCGACGGGGAGTCGCATACAGGGATACGCACTGTGCGTGTATGTACTTTGTGTATGTTGTGCGTACTTTTGAGTGTGTGTGGTACGCTATTATGTTGTGTACGTTGTCCGGGATGTACGGGTGCACAGTGATCCCAACCGCTTTATCAGGGGGCAACCGCCCACCATTTGGACCCTGCGCAAACGAGTGTTTGGGTGTCCCTGTGGCCCGCTACGGGATATCCTCTCCTCCCCTGCTCCCCCTCCCCCTCCTCCTCCTCCTCCTCCTCCTCCCCCTTTTCCTGCTCCGCCTCCCCCTTCCTCCTGGCGGGTATCTCGTGTCGGCCTCTGCGCTTCGTCTTCTGATAGGTCGGCGGGGGCCGCCGTCCGGGCGTGCATACCCCCCAACAACAACAACAACAGCGGGTGGCAAGACAAGGCTGCTACTAACTGGACGTGTGCATGCGGATGCGGCCGTAACAAGGCATCTTGGAGCTGGTGCAAGCGGTATCGAGCGTGCCGCAGGAGAGATCTCTCCGCATCACGAATCCCCTCTTGCGGAGAAGCAGCCGCAATATATCATCCCTCCTGGTCTCCATCTTCCTCGGTCTATTGGTGCGCAGTTGTCTGGCTGTGGCGGCCAGGATCTTCGAACGCCCACTGGCGCTGAGGTACAGAGCTTGGAGCAGCTGGGACACGAGCAACAACATCCAGCTAGCGAGAGCCTGGGAGATCAATAGACGTGTGCAGCCAGGACAGGCGGCGCACACGGTCGCGGGCGAGGCCCACGCCAACTTACAGTATGCTGAACAGCTTCTCGCCGCAGCCACCGAGAAGCTCGAGTATTTCACGCAACAGCGCGACCAGCAGCCAGTCGTCGCCAACCTTGTATCGCAGGTGGAGGCTTCTGCTGCAGAGTACAAGCAGGCAGTCGC